TATTGAAACATAAAAGGTAGTAGAGAGTAATAAATCTTCCAACAAACATTTTTAAATAATTGACGATAAATAAGTTAAGGAAGAGTAACCAGATAATAATCTATAAAAATAAAATGAGTCAGTGATAATATAGGATTAAGAGGAGAATAATTTAAAATAAAAAATTTACAATTTATGATATAGATTGTTTTCATATTTAATAATTAATATTTATATAATTAATAAAAATTAAAATAGTGAAAGAATTTAAGAGAATTTTTATATAAAAAAAGAATATAAATATATAAATTAATTTAAAATGAAAATTATTGATTTATAAATAAATGATGGAAAACATGGATTTATTAAGTAAGTAAAAATTGGAGATAAATTATATGCTTTAAAGTAATTCAAGGATAAAGGTGGAGATTAGGAATATAGAATTCATAAATTATTAAAACACCCAAACATTTTGAATTTTATTTATGGAAATGAAAAATATATAATAACTGAATTAATGATTCCATATGATTTACATTTTTTTGTAAAAACTGCAGGTTCTATGTCAGTTAATACATCAAACTATATTTTAAAGTAGTTAGTTGATGCTTTAAAATATATGCATTAATTAAGAATTGCTCATAGGGATGTAAAATTGGAAAATGTTTTAGTGGATGAATAGAATTACTAAATAAAACTTTGTGATTTTGATGTAAGTGAAAGTTTAGATTCAGGATAAGTGCATAATTAAGTTGGAACACCTTGTTATATGGCTCCAGAAATTAATTTCTATGGAAAGATCGATGCCTAAAATTTGATAGAATGTGACATTTATTCTTTAGGTGTTTTATATTATATTTTACTTTTTGGAAAATATCCTTTCAATACTACAAATTCATCATGTCCTTTATACAGATTGATATTAAAAAATAATTGGAATAAATTTTGGTATTATTCTTAGAGGAATAGAAGTGAAAAGATTCCTATTTCTTGTTTAAAATTAATTGAAGGTATGATCAATTATGATCCAAAGAAACGTTTAACTTTGGATGAAATTCTTTATAGAATTGGATAAATAAATGAAATAGAGTATATCAATGAGATGAAAAATGTTCATCATAAATTATAGGAGGATAAATGAGAATAAGAAAATGGTTTATAAAAAAAAAAGTATTTTTTGCATATTGTGCTGTGGTAACATTGATTTAATGAATTCTATATTTATATTCTGATGAAATATAATTTCTGATAAGTTTTATAAAAGAATTTAATAATTCCCGATGAAAGTAAATTGGATTTGATTTTAAAAATTTAAACTTGTTAACTTATACTAAAAATTTAAGTGATGAATATCTCATAAGAAATCTTGGGTTCTGGATTGACTTGCGAAGTCAGAAAAGTATAGATCAAAGACAAAGAATATGCTATCAAATTATTCAAGGATAACTTCTCTACATAATTAATAAAAAAAGAAATTAACATTCTTTCTTAAATTGACCATCACAATGTTGTACATTTAATAGAAGGAAATCATAAAGAAAGATATATGATTACCGAGCTTTTAGAAAAAATGGATCTCTTTGATATTTTAGCCAAAGGATAGAAACCATTTTCAATAACTTCTATTAAATACATTATTTTATAATTAACAGCGGCAATCCAATATATTCATAAATTGGGTTTTGTGCATAGAGACATCAAATTAGAAAATATACTATTGGATAAGAAATTGGATATCAAAATTTGTGACTTTGGATTTGCTGAACCAATCAATGGAGAATTTGTTACCAGATCTTCTGGTACTTTGGGATATTTGGCTCCAGAGTTATAAAATCAAGGATTAATCAATACTACAGCATTACCTTTAACAGAAGTCTTTTCTTTAGGAGTGTGTCTCTTCATATTGGCTTTTGCCCATCCACCTTTCAGATAGAGTACTAAAGTTTGTCCATATTGGAGATTAATTTCTACTGGATAATGGGCTAAATATTGGTAGGCAGTAGACAAATAAAATAAATACAATGATGAATTTCGCTCACTTATCTAAGGTATGTTGGAGCCAGATCCAAAAAAAAGAATGACTATTGATTAAGTATTGGATCATTAATTCATTATTGGTGGATGCAAGGAAACATATTAATTAGAAGTATGGGAACGATTGAAAATCGAATGAGAGAATAGGAGATGTTTAAAAAAAAGGTGCTTTGGTTAAATTGATTATTTATATAAAAAAATTTTATTGATAAATTTATATCTATCTATCTCTATAAATAGTATTTGAAAAATATTAAATAAATTTGATATTGAAATTAATCATTTATAATTTATTTTATAATAACCTTAATAGTTTTCAGTAATTGTCTCTTCTCCATTACCCTTATCAATAGTTTATAATAAATATTTCCCATTTATATCAAATTTAATTTCTTAATCCAATTTACTCTATCCTTAAATTAATAAATTATCTATATTTATATTGATTTTATCAGCAGCTATCTTTGCATATCTATTGGATTAAGATTTTAAATAATCTTTGCTTGAAAAACTTCTATATACTGGTTCATCATTCAATTATTTCAATATTGATTAAGTAGTCTCATCTTGATTGATTATACTTGGTTTTCGTATCATTTAATCATTCTATGACATCATAAATAAGGGATATCCACTATCATCATCTATTTCTCTAATTAAAGATTGTTATTTACACTATCTTCACTGTCTTATCATCATTATTTCTATTTAATGAATCATTTGTATTACAATACTCTTATTTTCTACGAAATCTATAACAATCTACCATCAATGATTTGTTTGGATCTTTATTTACTTATTTAGTCACTTCAATTAATAAATTATTTTATTCCTTTTCTAATTTTAAATATTCTTCCAAAGCTCTAGTTTCTTTTAACAAAATCTATTTTTTTTGGAATGGCATTTTCATCAATTCTTGATCCTCCTTTAATCTTGATTCAAACAAATTCTTCTCAATCAAATTTACTTTAGCCAATAAATCTTCACCTGTAAATACTTATTATGTTTTTGTTGTGTTATTATTATTTCTAAAAGTATTTGTAGTATTTCCTTTAGCAAATGTTCTTCTACTATTTGATTTTGGATCCTATCCAGTTAATAAACTCAATTTCCTTTTGAATATATCTGGTTTACCTACAATTGATCGTATAACAATTTTATTATTCTCTAATTTTGGACCAATTGTAGAATCGTATTTACATAATTACATACTTATGGGATCTTTAAAGATGTTTTTAGTTTATTATTAACCTATAGCATCTAAAATTTCTGTTTTGAATTCTGGATGTTTATCAATTGACTTGGCCAACATATAACCTTTTTCTTTTGTTGTATTCAACTTATTCCATGGGTTACTCTATACTGAAAACATGCTCTATTGATCTTACATAGAATTTAATATAAATAATATTAATAATAAAAATAATAGTATTAAGTATATAACAATCATTATTTCATTAATTATTATAATATTTATTTACAATTTCTATCACTTTTATCAAAATGTAAACTTGGTTCAGTTTTAAATCTTTTTAAAATAGTTTCAGATCTCTATTTATACAATTCTAAAATTATTAATATTAATTTTACTGTCTTTTAGATTTTGTAATTGATTTAAAGTTTTTTGTATAGATTCCTATTTAAATTTTTTATCCTTTGATAGACTTTCAATCAATTATTTAAGATGATCATGAGTATTTTCTTTATTAGCCATCAGACTTTCTTTTCTTTTAAGACTTACTTTTGTACTCTAATCAACAAAGGACTACTCTTCAAGCTAAAATACAATAGATTAAATACAATAGTCTCTAATTATTATTGATAATGTATGCAAAATGATTATATTAGATGATCTAAATATGGAGAACTCTCATTCAATATACTACTTACAATATAGATAGATTTTAGATGATAAAATTATGATTTGAGTTCATTTTTCAAGTATCTAGTTTCTGAAGCAAGTGAAAAATAAGCCATAGATAATAGTATTAATTTTTCAATTAAGACTTTTTAACTAAATTCATAGAGGATTTCTCCTTTAAGACATACTTCTTCATAAGTCAGTAATCTTATATACATTATGTTACTAACATTAAATGATAATAACCATTCATTTTCATTAAGTAAACCAATCATTGATCTTTAATAGAGTTTAGTAAAAGATTGTTTAGGCAATTTATCATTATTTAATGAGTTCAATTTCCAAGTAAAAATATGATTTGCTAATTCTTATAATTTAGGCTATTCTTCTGATTCAATTAATTAAGTAGTGATAAATTGTTTTATGAATTTAAGTAATTCTTCAGATCTCTTAAGTAATAGATTCTTAAAATCATATTCTTCAAAAATATATTATCCCTTTTAATATTTTTATACTTTTTTATTGTTTGTCTACTAACTGCTTTAATATTAATAACTGATCTCAAAAAGTCTATTGATTAATACGACAGTAGAGTGTGCAACATTAGATGCCACTTAATGTTAATTCAATTATGATAATATTCCACAATATTATAATTGTACAACAGCTAAAAGATGCATTCGTTTAATCAGAAAGACTTGATTGTTTTCTTGTTGAATCATTTCTTGTAAATTAAAAACGGTTCCTTCTAAGTATTAGGCTGCTTTATCTAGATTGCATAATCTGAATATAGATTAAAGTAAATGTACGCTTAATTAACACCAGCAAGATTATAGATAATAGTAACTATGAGATTGCGATCTATGATTTTGCCACAATCAGCATTGTATTATAAAAGACCAAGAGCTCTATCTAGAATCTCAAGAGCTAAGTGAGAATCTGTTTATGCAAGTGCTTGTTTATTTAGTGATTCAATTACTTCCATGTTACGTTAATTATATTTTAAAATTGCAAATAAGTGGGCAAACAAAAGAAAAATATCATCTAGAAGAAATAATTGCAATAGCCATTTCATATAGGAATTCTTTGGTAAGGGGATTAAGAAATAAAGAAAGAAATAAAAGAGATGTAAAAACAATTTATGAAGTGTCCATAACTAGTATATATTTAATCATAAATCAAAGAATATTGTCATAATAAAGAGAGGAAATAATGAAAGAATTTAATTATCAAAATTTTGTAAAATAGATATCCTAATTGGATTAGATATGAAGATGATATATACTATTATATATTTAAACATGACTCATATATCAAATTATTGGAGTAATTTATACATCACTGATCATGTTAATGATGTAAATAACTATCTATATTAGTTATATATTCAATATAAGTACATAGATTTTAAAACAATTGGCTAAAGAATTCATAATCAATATTAAGATAAGACTAATAATAAGATTATGGGATTTATGATCTAACTTAGTCAACAATCATAATTTGAATTATCAAGAGTATAATATTTATGGTTCTAATGATAAATGAGAATTATTGTTGTAGAACATACAATAATGAAATCATTGTAATATTTGAATATATAAAAAAGAAGGAATTTTAAGAGATGTTTACTAATTAACACATCAAATTATTATAAATAAATAGTGAATTTAGAATAAAGAAGTAAAATCATTATTCATAGAAGAACTTTGTCTAAATTTATAAATCTAAGATTCTAATAATTTAGAAAGTGCCATTTATGTGAATTAAAAGTTATTGAAATTCACTAAATATGAGATTCATATTAGTAAAATGAATATTTTTAATGATTTTTGATTTACTCCAATATCAATATGATGAAACTTCGAAGTGTTTCTATTTTAATACATATAATTAATTAAATTATCCGAATCTATTGGATTTTATTAAAAGTAAATTCATAAGTTTTGTTCATTTGAAAGAGAGAACTAAATTTATAATAATTTCTACTATTAAATAAATGTTTAATAATAATGTTTAATTTAATACAATAATTATTAATTTACTTTAATCATTGTACTTGATTAAAACTGCTAAAATAAAAACAAAAGATTTAAATTTTAAATTTAATCTTTCGGAAATCAAGTAAAAGTATATACAAATTAATTAAGTAGATGAAAATAAATAAAACTCGTTTTTAAGACTATTTAAATTGTCAATCATTTAAATAAAAAATAATGGACATAATCAAATCAAATAATACATTGAATTCAAAAAGATAATTCTAATAAAAATCAACTAATTATTCTTAAGGTANTATTTTAAAATTGCAAATAAGTGGGCAAACAAAAGAAAAATATCATCTAGAAGAAATAATTGCAATAGCCATTTCATATAGGAATTCTTTGGTAAGGGGATTAAGAAATAAAGAAAGAAATAAAAGAGATGTAAAAACAATTTATGAAGTGTCCATAACTAGTATATATTTAATCATAAATCAAAGAATATTGTCATAATAAAGAGAGGAAATAATGAAAGAATTTAATTATCAAAATTTTGTAAAATAGATATCCTAATTGGATTAGATATGAAGATGATATATACTATTATATATTTAAACATGACTCATATATCAAATTATTGGAGTAATTTATACATCACTGATCATGTTAATGATGTAAATAACTATCTATATTAGTTATATATTCAATATAAGTACATAGATTTTAAAACAATTGGCTAAAGAATTCATAATCAATATTAAGATAAGACTAATAATAAGATTATGGGATTTATGATCTAACTTAGTCAACAATCATAATTTGAATTATCAAGAGTATAATATTTATGGTTCTAATGATAAATGAGAATTATTGTTGTAGAACATACAATAATGAAATCATTGTAATATTTGAATATATAAAAAAGAAGGAATTTTAAGAGATGTTTACTAATTAACACATCAAATTATTATAAATAAATAGTGAATTTAGAATAAAGAAGTAAAATCATTATTCATAGAAGAACTTTGTCTAAATTTATAAATCTAAGATTCTAATAATTTAGAAAGTGCCATTTATGTGAATTAAAAGTTATTGAAATTCACTAAATATGAGATTCATATTAGTAAAATGAATATTTTTAATGATTTTTGATTTACTCCAATATCAATATGATGAAACTTCGAAGTGTTTCTATTTTAATACATATAATTAATTAAATTATCCGAATCTATTGGATTTTATTAAAAGTAAATTCATAAGTTTTGTTCATTTGAAAGAGAGAACTAAATTTATAATAATTTCTACTATTAAATAAATGTTTAATAATAATGTTTAATTTAATACAATAATTATTAATTTACTTTAATCATTGTACTTGATTAAAACTGCTAAAATAAAAACAAAAGATTTAAATTTTAAATTTAATCTTTCGGAAATCAAGTAAAAGTATATACAAATTAATTAAGTAGATGAAAATAAATAAAACTCGTTTTTAAGACTATTTAAATTGTCAATCATTTAAATAAAAAATAATGGACATAATCAAATCAAATAATACATTGAATTCAAAAAGATAATTCTAATAAAAATCAACTAATTATTCTTAAGGTAATTTTGTAATAATTTAATTTAATAGAAAAATACAATAAATATACATAACTATATTAAGATTAAATAAAAATATAATTGATATTTATAGATTCTTTAAAAATGATGAAAATTATTTAAGCATTTAGATAAATCTTATGCATTTTTAGTAAACTGATAAAAAAGATGCTTTTAAAAAAATCTTTAATCACAACTATTTTTCAAACATTGATAATCCTCTTTTTAATCGTCTTACTAATTGAGAAGGTGTCCTTGTTCGAGAAAATGTTTCATCCATTTCTTCTATCTGAGAATGCTCCTTTATCATCTTGAACTTTGAAGATCCAGATCTAAAATTAGTTTATGTATTGTTTTGAGATGTAACAATAGATGCACTAACAACTCTGATTGATCCTCTCTTAAGTGAACGTATTGTCATATTTTATCTACTCATTTTCATAGGTTCATTTTAGAATTGATTCTACATTCAAATTATATATTTACATTCAGAATTTCTTCTTTGACTTTCTTTAAAAAAGAGATCTTGTAATTTGGATGTTGAATAGGATTTGGAAATAGAACATCCGGTAAAGTATTTAATCTCATTTATTAATTTAATTATTATTAATGCTTACCTCCAAAAATTGTCAAGGAGAGAAAATAGAATACTTACATCAATTAATACTAAGATTAGTTGGTCTAATCTATGCATTTGCCTTTTCTAGTTGGTATTATTAAATTCCAGCATTGTATTCCAAAAATGGATTGATGCCAATATCTAAAATTGAATGGCATGATCTAAATTAAATGCCTACTCTCCTATAAATAGGTAAGAATGATTCCACTCTTACACTTATTACTATTTTTGGTACCCTAGTAGGATTATTAGCATTTGCCTCTTCCAAATTTATTAAATGGTACACCTTTTTAATATTGTGGGTATTATATCTCTCACTCTATACAGTTGGTTAAGATTTTAGTCAATTTTAATGGGATATAATGCTTTTGGAATGTGGTTTCATTTGTATAATCTTTTCTCTTACACCTGTTGTAGGAAGAGAATTATTACGTTGGCTTGCATTTAGACTCTATTTTTCAAGTGGATTAGTGAAATTATTAAGTTAATGTGAAACTTGGTGGAATTTAACTGCATTACATCATCATTTTGCATCATAATGTATACCTCATTTTCTATCTTGGTGGGCACATTAAATACCAGGAGAATTAAAAAAATTAATGGTAGCTACTAATTTCTATGTTCTTATTTTTGGAGCTATTTATTTTTATTTCCCAACAAGATTTATGAGAATATTTGGATTCATATTATAATTTATAATGCAAATTGGTATTATACTAACTGGAAATTACAACTTTTTTAATCTATTATCAATTGTACTTACTTTGGTAGTATTAGATGATCATTTCATTTATAAATACTTTCCTAGTCAAATCAAAGAATTTATTAATATGCCAAAAACTATTGAAGAATTTGATTTAAAAAAAAACAATAGAATTTACAAATACTCTGAAATTGTAATTTGTTTTTATATGACAGGAGTACTCATATTCAATTTCTTTCCTTATGAAACTATAATGTAAGGAAAAAAACTTCCATTTACTGTTTAAGATATTGGTAAATACTTTCTAACAGAAGATAATTTCACTTACTTTTTATTATATGTACTTACATTCTTCTTTTTCTATATAACATATTTCAATCTTTAGAAAAATTCTGCTAAAAGTACTATGGCTGCCATATTACAAACATTAATTAAAATTGTTGTTTTTATTTTTATGTTTAGTATGTCTAATATGACATTTCAATAAGGAATAGGCATTAGATAAATTAATAGTCCAATAATACCATAATAATATTTATAATAGATTTAACAATATACATATTCATTTCATTTATTTAATAGTTATGGTTTATTCAGAAAAATGACTGGTGTAAATGGCAGACCTGAACTTATTTTTGAAGGTAGTGAAGATGGTAATAAATGGTTAGAATATCATTTCCATTATAAACCTGGAAAAATTAATGAAATATCACCATTTGTTGTACCTCATTAACCTAGATTAGATTGGTAATTATGGTTTGCATCTTTATAAGAACAACCTTCAGATCTATATTTAGTAAATTATTTATATTATAAATTAGATTCATTTAGTTTATAAAATGTTGGATGGTTAAAATATAAATGATTTTGTTTCTAATAATCCATTTTAAAAAAAATCTCCAAAATTTATTAGAATTAATAAATATCTATATTATTTTACAAATGTCACTGAGATGATATAAACTGGAAATTTTTGGAAAAGAATTTGGAAATCAGTTTACTTACCTCCAATATCATTGTAAGATAGTTAATTGCAAAGTATAAAATAATAATATGGATTTGAATCTGCTGTGAATAAATAAAAAGAATAGAATACTTAATTGCCATTATGGACTTTAATAATGAGTGTGATTATTTATGCATTTTATTGATAATTCAAGTTTAAATAAATTATATTTCTAATAATCTTATTATTAAGATTGTTAATAATTAATTTTTTATCCAAATAATATAATAGAAAATAATTTAATATTATAATTTATCTTAATAAAATTTTGATCTTCATTAATTATTATAAATATAATAACTATGATGTAAATAAACTCATTATTATCTATCAACCTATTCTATTTCAGTAGTAATACCAGTACTGAGTAGGTATACTTCCTGCTTTAATTCTTCAGTATTTTCTAAAATGTAAAATATATATAATTATTACATAAGTAATCGAGAAATTATTGTTACCTAAATTTATATAAATCTGGTATTCTGTATTCATCTAATAATTTCATTAATTCATATGCAAAGTACTTTAATGTAATTTAATCTAAACTAACAAATTTAATTTATTCAAAAGCAATTTCATCATCTGTTATAGATCTAAGATATAAATAATTTTATTAAACTATAAGATTGCTCTAATAAGAACTTCAGCATGAAATTACTTTGGAATTACAAAATTTGGAGAGTTCTATTCAGTAAATGAAATGGAATTAAATCCCTTTTATTTTAAACATGCTTAATAACTCTAAAATATTAATTATAGATCTCTAGTATCCTTGATTAATAAATATTTAATATTACTTAATAATATGGTAAACGAACATGATATATTTCTAGAGAATTAACATTTTCACTTTTAGTTTTAATCATTTCTCCTATTTTCACTAATTGTTTTTATAGGTTATTAATATATACTTTATTGGATGAGGTCATTAACTTTGTTGTTTTTATCTCTATAAAATGTAATATTTAAAAGAATACCTCTTTGCTAAATAAGACCATGCTGGTTCATGAGATGCATTCACTAAAATCAATTGAAATTTGTACCAATAACATCTGACAAATCTTCAGCTATATCAGCCTAAATAATAGAGATTGTAATTTATTTGATTGTTCTAGTTGTGATAATTTTGGATTCAGGATGTAAAACATGTTTCTTCTCTTCCTCCAATCCACATAAATCTGAATTATTTTATAATCTTACTGTTTCCCATAATATATATAATTTTTTTGATTAATTAATTTATTATATGACAATCGTAAACAACGCTTTCATAGCGTCAGTATTAATCTACTCATTTCTTTATGATGCAAGACTATTATACATATTTCTTGGCATTATAGGTAATAATCATTATCATTCAATAGTTGTTTACCAAGCATTATCATATATCTATTATCCTACTATTGGTTATGGATCTGGTAGAAGAAGATTATCTTAGGCTCTTTGGACTCCACCAACTGAAGGAGTCATTCATAACTTAGTGGAAATTGATTTAACCAATACTATGAAATATCTATAATCAAAATAAGCAAAGTAATAATTATTATCATTTATTTAGAGATTCACATGTTACTCTAACCCATATCTGTATTAGAGCTGTAGCAGAATGTATTAGTGTTAGTAGAAAGAAAATATGTGGAAAAATTGTGTTTGGAAAATTTGTTGAATTTCCTACAGTTGATATATCATGTTTGGTAAACATAGGAGAGGGTGATGATTTGGCTGCATTGTTAGTTTAAAATGCTGATTAAAAGAATTTTGAAGATATTGCTGAATACATAAATGGTAAAGCTAAACTAGCTAAATAGGGTAAGGATGAAGAACATTAATAAAGATCAGGTTTACTTAAATACCTTCCTCCATTGTAATTTTTACATTCTATCAATTTATAGTGTTATTAGCTTATTAATTTAAGTGACATCTTTTCTTACCTATAATTTGGGAATTACTATTAAAGCATTAGGTTTGAAGAAAGATTGTTTTGGAGTTGCCACAGTGACTTCTATTGGAACACTTGGATTTAGAAATGTTATTGCTCCATTTACTCCTATGATGAGAAATTTATTGATTGTCACTGTTAATTAAATTGTAGAAAAAGCAGTTGTTAAGAATGGATAAATTGTTATTGCACCTACATTTTAATTGAACTTTTGTACTGATCATAGATTCTTAGATGGTGGTGCTATTGTTAAATCAAATAAAGTCTTATATGATGTATTTGAAAACCCAGAGAAATATGCAAGAAAATGAGTATTTTCTAAAATAAATTTGTTGATTAAATTCATATCCAATCTCAATATAAATATAATTAATTAAATTATCAATTATATTCATAAGATTATTTTTAATTAATCAAAAGATTTTAACATTAATCTTAGATATATATGTAAAACAAATAAATCTATTAATATGATATTTATATTTAGATGATTTATATAAAATATATAATTATGAATTAAATACATTCTAAATCAAATATTTTAGATTATTTAATATTATTCTATTCATTGTGATTTATATTTAAATATCATGAAAATTTACATAAATTTAAGTTATAATAAAATTATTATTAAAGATATTATTAATATAAAAGACAAAACTTACATTAATAATATAATTATTAAAGAATTTTATTAATGATTCAAACTCAAGACTTGAAATTCTTTTCCAATATGAATAAGGCAATGAAATCTTAAGATTAAATTAGAAATATTGCAATATCTGGTACTTTTGATAATGGATAATAATAATTATATAACATTTTAATTAAAAAATGGGGAGTATAAACTAATACAGATTTAATACTTACTGATAATGAATAAGAATTTGGTTAAGAATTCTAATCTTAATGTAATATTAAAAACTTATATTATTAAAAAAAAATCAATAAAAAAGAAGAAGAAGTAGAAGATGGTTATTTGATAAACTTAATGAAATCTTAAAATAATTATCATAAATAAACAGAAAGTTTAGCAAGATTATCAGATGGAGCAATTATTATAATTAACTTTGAATTTTATTTAAATAATGAAATTGAAACAATAATAAGAACATTTTTGAAAGAATAAAACAAAATAGTGTTTTTCATAAACAAAATTGAAAAAGCATTTTTGTAACAAAACCTTAATGGAGAAGAAATTTACATAAATTTAAATCTTATAATTGAAAAAATCACTTAAATAATATAACTCTATAAATCAGATAGAATATTAAACCCTGCCTTTGGTTAAATAATATTTGGATCTGCAAAATAATAATGGGGTTTTACTTGTTTATAATTTGCCTAATTTTATGAAAATAAATTTGGTATAGAACATAAAAAGTTAGCAGAAAAGTTATGGGGTGATCATTATTTTGATACATCTACAAAATAATGGAGTACTATGTCTAAAGATAGTTAACCTTTAAAAAGAGCATTTGTTGCCTTTATCTTAGATCCAATTCTAAAATTATCATAAGCTATAATGAATGGCCAAAAAGATATTGTCTATTAAATGATAGAGAGAATTGGAATATAATTAAATGAAGATGTAAAAAAATAAGATGGTAAGGAATTATTGAAATCAATTCTCAGTATTTGGATTAATTTAGCAGATGCAATTATGTAATCATGTATATTACAAATACCTTCTCCAAGGACTGCTTAAAATTACAGAGCAGCATCTCTTTGTAAATTAGATAAGAATGACAAATTATTTGAATCAATTAGAGATTGTAATCCTAAAGGACCTTTAGTGATTTAAATTTGCTTAATGATACCATATAAGTAGGAGTTCATTTCAATTGGAAGAGTCTATTCAGGAACAATCTATACTGGACAGTAGATAAAGATTTTAGGATGTTAATAAAAAGATGGGAAGAATTAAGATCTATTTTAAGTAATAGTAGGATAGACTTTTTGTTTCCCCTAAGGTGAACCTGGTTATTTAGAATAGATACCTTCTGGAAACATAGTGGGAATAAAAGGAATTGATTAATTCATCAAAGGAACTTGTACTATAACTGATATCTAACATTCTATTTAAATGACACCTATATAATATTAATAGGATAATTTAGTAAGGATTACAATTACACCTGTAGATCCTATCCATTTGACTCTTGTAATTGAAGCAATTAAATAATTAATGAAATTACATCCAACTATTTCTTTATAATTAGATCCTTGTTTGATTTTAACTGGAAATACATATCACCATTTACAATTTTTTATGGAAGAATTAATTAATAAATATTTAAATAATGTTGAAATTAAAAAGTCTAATTACTTTGTTAGTTACAGAGAGACAATCACAGATATATCAAATAAAAATTAAATTAAGACTCCAAATAAACATAATATAATAGAAGGAATAGCAACACCATTAAGTGATAATTTATTGAATTAAATTGAATCAGATAATTAATCTATTACATTTAAGGAATCTTTAAAAATCAATTCAAAAAATTGGTTTCAAAATGAAAAATTAAAAATTATGGCTTTTGGTCCAAATAATATAGGTCCTAATATTCTTGTAAATAAATCAAATTATGAAGATTATTAACATCTATCAGAAATTGAAGTTCATTTGAATACAACATGGTAATGGTTTACAAAAGAAGGGGCACTTTGTGATGAAGAATTAAGGGGAGTACAAATTAATATTTTACAATATTTATCTCATGCTGATAATATTCATAGAGGAGCAGGTCAAATTATACCTACAGCAAGAAGATTATTTTATGGATGCTAATTATAAGCATAACCAAGATTATAAGAACCTGTATTTCTTGTGGAAATTCATTCGAATATTTATGTTATAGATTAAGTTTACAAATGTTTAAATAATGCAAAAGGGATTGTTATAGAGGAAAAGAGTTTCTCTGAAACTTCCTTTTAAAAAGTACATATTTCTATAATCAAGATAAAAGCATATGTGAAAGGTCTTAATATATTTTAATTTCATGATTCAATAAGTCAGATGACTTAAAATAAAGCATATAGTATAAGTTCATTTGATCATTGGTCTCTTCTTAATAGTGATCCATTAGAAGATAATTCTGAAGTAGATATGTATAATAAATTTAGGCTAATTAAATATTGTAAGATATTCGAGTAAAGAAAGGTTTGTCTTCACAAATCCAAAATTATTTATGAATTTTTCTATTATATACTAAATAGTTATAAAAATAATATACTATTATAAAAGCAAAATTTGGTTTATATTATTTTATTACTAAATTATTTAACCTATATACTAATATGAGTAAATAACAACAGAAAGAGTCAATACGTATTCATTAAATAAGCAATTTTAAAAATAAAAAGGAAATGATGGATTATGCAAATGCTGAATCTCAAAAGTTACAAGTAGAATAATTTTATCATATAGTCAAATAAAAAAGAATTAACAAAAGTCATTGGTAGATCTTAAGGAGGCTAACATCGATTATAAACTAATATAAATCAGACAAAAATTTAAGAAAATAAAAATTATTAAAAAAAGAATGTTGAAGATTCTCAAAATAAATTGTAGAATTATACTTCAGTTTTTATAGATTCATTCAAATCTATGATTCTACAAAAATATCAAATAAAATATTTGGATTCAATTAATTTATCTTCACCTAGAGTTCAAAAGTCTCATGTAAGTTAAGAATTTTCAATATAAAAAATGTACTATTAATTATAATACTATTAGAAGCCAAAATAATATAATTCAAAGTGATAGATAATTTAGGAAAATAGTAGTAAAAAAATAAACATAATATAAAGAATAATAATAATTAGAGTTATTGTAATAATAAAAAAATTAAGAAAAAGAATAAATTTAAAAGCAGATTGAAAATGAAAGTATGATCTTCAATTCATAAAACTAAGAATTACAATTAAAAAATATAAAAATGATAGAATATTAAAGAATACTTAGAGAAACAATTGAATAGTTGAATTAATAAATATAAGAATAAAATCCAGATTTCAATATCAAACTAAAAAATGAATTTCTTTAAAAAAAAATTAATACTTTGAATAACAAGATAGATAGAATTCAATATAATATTGTATAAGTTGATGATAATTTCGAAACATATGTTAAAAATCTGAACAATAAATTAATAAATTTAGAACAATAGCTCAATGAAAATAAGCAATGTATATTATAACAAACTAATGATTAATCAAAAAAAGTAATTAGCAGACAACATAATTTAGAAAAATTTAAATAATAAAATGGAAAATAATAGCCAAATTCTTAACTTGAAGAATTAACGTAAACTTATAAGTAAGAGAAGTAAAAACTTGATTAAGAATATACAAATAGTGAGAAATTTTATCAAGATCAAAAAAAGAATTTCTTAAATGAATAGGATTAAATGAAAAGACTAATTAGAGATTTTGAATAAGAAATTTATAAAAATAAAATACTTGAATAAAATCTTACAAGTAAACTAAATTTACTAAATATTTACTCTCAATAATTGTTAGAATGCGAAAAGAAATAATTTAATACGGAAGAGTAAATTCGATAGATCTAATAAGAATATCAAAATATAATTCTATAACATCAAAATCAAATAACTATTTCTGAGAAATAATTAATTGAAATAAAAGAATAAATAAAAAATCTACCTTATTTAGAAAAAGTCAATTCCTAATCTGCTAAAACTGAATTACTAGTGACAATTCATAATTTAGATCAAAATTCTATAAAAATATATGAACTCATTGAGCTGTATAAAAATAATAGTCTTGAAAAAGATCTATAAACGTGTGATGAAATTATCAATATAAATTATGAAGATGAAACCATACTGAGATTAGAATTGTTTAAAATAACCTTTTACAAAACTTCGAAAATCAGAAATTTGCTTTATTAAACAAAATGGATAACTTAAGAATCACTTAAATCTTTAGATTAGCTTAATAATAATAGTTAAGTATTTATTGAAGAAAATTAACAAAATTCTTTTTATTTAACAAGCGATTTGATTAATGGTTTCGCTGAATACTTATAGATGAAAGATGAAGCATATTATTTTAAATTGAAAAGTAATTTAAGATTATTCTATCCAAGACTATGTATTTTACCTAGTTGTTTTTTAGAAGAATTTAGATAATACTTTAAATAAAATAAGAATCTTTGTATAAAATTAATTATAGATTATTTTGAAGATTTTCAAGCAATTTAATATCAATTTTAAATTATTTATTAAAAAATTGCATTTATAATTAAAGAAGGCTCACTTTATTATGTAATCACAGTAGATTTAAAAAATCTATTAGTTATANTAAGTTGATGATAATTTCGAAACATATGTTAAAAATCTGAACAATAAATTAATAAATTTAGAACAATAGCTCAATGAAAATAAGCAATGTATATTATAACAAACTAATGATTAATCAAAAAAAGTAATTAGCAGACAACATAATTTAGAAAAATTTAAATAATAAAATGGAAAATAATAGCCAAATTCTTAACTTGAAGAATTAACGTAAACTTATAAGTAAGAGAAGTAAAAACTTGATTAAGAATATACAAATAGTGAGAAATTTTATCAAGATCAAAAAAAGAATTTCTTAAATGAATAGGATTAAATGAAAAGACTAATTAGAGATTTTGAATAAGAAATTTATAAAAATAAAATACTTGAATAAAATCTTACAAGTAAACTAAATTTACTAAATATTTACTCTCAATAATTGTTAGAATGCGAAAAGAAATAATTTAATACGGAAGAGTAAATTCGATAGATCTAATAAGAATATCAAAATATAATTCTATAACATCAAAATCAAATAACTATTTCTGAGAAATAATTAATTGAAATAAAAGAATAAATAAAAAATCTACCTTATTTAGAAAAAGTCAATTCCTAATCTGCTAAAACTGAATTACTAGTGACAATTCATAATTTAGATCAAAATTCTATAAAAATATATGAACTCATTGAGCTGTATAAAAATAATAGTCTTGAAAAAGATCTATAAACGTGTGATGAAATTATCAATATAAATTATGAAGATGAAACCATACTGAGATTAGAATTGTTTAAAATAACCTTTTACAAAACTTCGAAAATCAGAAATTTGCTTTATTAAACAAAATGGATAACTTAAGAATCACTTAAATCTTTAGATTAGCTTAATAATAATAGTTAAGTATTTATTGAAGAAAATTAACAAAATTCTTTTTATTTAACAAGCGATTTGATTAATGGTTTCGCTGAATACTTATAGATGAAAGATGAAGCATATTATTTTAAATTGAAAAGTAATTTAAGATTATTCTATCCAAGACTATGTATTTTACCTAGTTGTTTTTTAGAAGAATTTAGATAATACTTTAAATAAAATAAGAATCTTTGTATAAAATTAATTATAGATTATTTTGAAGATTTTCAAGCAATTTAATATCAATTTTAAATTATTTATTAAAAAATTGCATTTATAATTAAAGAAGGCTCACTTTATTATGTAATCACAGTAGATTTAAAAAATCTATTAGTTATAATTTATAATTCTATTCCTAAACCATCATAATAATATTATGAGCTTCAGCTTTGCTTGAATTTTTTATTTAGTAAACTTCTTAAAGAAAATATATAGTTTTAATTACATGTGAGTCCTACATTTCCAATTTAATCAGATCAATATGATGAAAATCTAACAGGTTATTATGCTTGCATTGCTCTTTAATATTTTAGTAAGAATTAAATAAATAAAAATTATTTGGAAATTAAAGATATCACATAGTAGATTGGATAAATTAACCTTAAAAAAAATATATAATCTAGAATCTTATAGAGAGAATAATTAGAAAGAATATTGGATATTAAAAATTGAGAAAAGTTATCAGATATAAATATATTTTATATATTTTTTCTAATGAATAATTAATTTAAATACATTATTCTTAATTAATTTAATTTTTTTATAGTTTCAAATTTTATTGAAATAAGCAATAGTTTATTTATTGTTTATTTCATATGGTTTAAAAAACAATGAAGTATTTAATAATTACATTCATATATAATTTTGGATTAACATTTTATAAGAAAATTCATAACTTAAATTGATTAAAGTATTTCTTAATTAGAAATTTAATAAGTAGGTTCACAACGTTATAGATTTTTATAATTTTTATTTGATTCTTATAATCTTAAATATTTATGCATATTAACAATATTACATATTACTTTTTGAGAATAAATTATAAATTATTATTTTTTTTATAATTGATATGCTGGTTATTAGTATAATTCCTATTAATATCAGATCTCAATATTAGAAATTAGATAAACTAATTTATTGGTAAAATTTAGGAAATAATTTAAACTTTGCTATTTTTTGTTCAATCATCCACTACTTCTTGAATTAGAAAAATTATCAGCCTATTTAAAAATTTTTGAATATTAGTTAAAATAGTTTATCAGAGGATTCTCACTAATTACAATAATTAATTATATAAAGTTTAGAAGAGAAAAATCCAATTTTACATTTTTTTAGAAGTTTATAATAAATAGATAATTATGTTGATAAGATAGAACAATTATTAATTCAATTATGTAGAATACATTTTTTAATAAAAAACTAAAAACCATACTTAAATAGCATAGCAATATTTTTATAAATTGAAATAAATTTCTTGCAAAATAATGAAAAATTAGGAAGAGGATAGGAATTAATATTACTCTCAAAAAATAATGATGATTTCTATTTTATTATTCCTCTTCAATAAATTCAAAAATTACCTTTATATAAATGTGTTTAATGTAAATAAGATTAATATTGCATTAATATGAATTGTAAACATTAGATTTGCTTAAATTGCATATAAACAAATAAATAGAATTCTGAAGAAGATTACTTCCTTTGTAATTGTGGACAAATAATTATAAAAAATAAATTCTTGGAAGATGCTATATAAGAAACTTAAAATCTTTAAATTATATAAGCTCATCATTTATTGATAACTGAATATTATGAATAGATTACAGAAAAAGATTAAATGAAAATAGAATATTAAAAAGTAGAATAAAAATATTAAAGTTAAGTATATCACCAAGAAATAATAAACAGTTCAAATACGTTAAAACAAAAATTTCCAGAAAGATTTTAACAAATTAATTTTTAATAAAGATTACTGAGATCAGAATGCGATACTTTTGAGTAAATTATGTTTATTACATAGGAATTAAAAAAATATCAATTTCTTATAATTTACTTAATCTCAAGAAAGGGTTAATAAGACTTTTTAGCCATATTCTATATAAACTTAAAATCATTTTTCTGAAGAAATATCGAGAAATTTTGATTTGATGAGCTATTTAGATGAATTATAATCATAACCATTTTAAGATTCAAATAGAATTACCTAATAACAATAATGTTCTTATTGTAATTCTCCATTTGATGAATTTAATTTATAATAAGATATAAATTGTATAAGTCATTTTATTGGAGCATGTTGTGTAATGGGAGATTATGATAATTGCCCTTAATGTGAAAAAATTAAGGAAATATAGTATCAACGTATTATTTAAATATTAATTTTTAGTTAAAAAGAAATTTAAACCTGAAAATATAAGTTCTTTAAATTATCCCACAATTTATTATGAAAAATAACTTCCTAAATAAAACAAACTAATCTAATCAACACCAATAGTATCCTCATATTATATAAGAGTTCCAACAATGAAAGAATTTTATGGACCATAAATTTATGAAAGGTAAAATAATAATCAATCTTTTCAATAAAATAAGTTGGCAAATAAAGAATTTCCATGAAATTATTTATTAATAAATTTAATAATTCATTTCCAAATTTCTTTAATTTATTACTATTTAAATGACTTCTATAATATTATAATCATATATTATTATTACTAAAATTAATTTATTATTATTTCAAATACATTAATTTAATGTTATAAATTAAGATATTTTTATTTTAATAAATACATATTAAAATAAATATAAATGATATAATAAATAAATGAGTTCATTATATTCGATTAATTATTTTATAAAAAACTATTATTAGTATAAAATATATATATTTTATTCAATTTGATCCAAATTCATGATCATTCTTTATCAAAATCCTCTTCATATCCATGTTTCTTTAAATAATTAATGTCATCAAGCATAACTTCTTCTTCTTTATTTCAATATTCTTTTCTATTCATGACTCCATTTTATTTTAACATTTTGTCAATCTTACTTAATTGTTTCATTTTCAATTTTCAATTATTTGTTTTTGTTACATTTCTAATTCTTTTGATTTTGATTCTTTTTTTAATTAGACAATTCTATCTTTCCTCTATTATTCTAGTTTCTTGGAATTATCTTAAATAGCTTCTGATTATTATACTCTTTATTTAAACTTCGAAATAAGTATAATAAAATAATTTCTCTTTTCTATCCAATCTTTCTTATTCTTCTTTTTTGATTTATTCTTACTTTTCAGCTTTCTTAATTTTCTCTTTTTTCAAAAATCAACAATTACTTTCCCATTTCTTATTAGAAGGTATTTATTTAATTGGTTTAATATTCATTTTTTTTTAGCTTCTTCAATTTTATCTTATTTGATTGGATTGATTTCATTTCTCTATCAAGATATGGTCTGTCAACACCTTTATGTGATTATTGAAAATTCAAAGGTTCAGGTAAAGGTTCAGTAATTCTCATTTATTGTTTTTTTCGATTTAATTGATCTTGAAAAGATGAATATAATTTATCAAAATCTGGAATGGCTTTAGCTTTGTAAGAAATCTAAATTTACATATATTTTGGAGATTAGGGATACACTTACTTTTATCTCTCAGCCATTTCCATATCTTGATATCATAGCTAATTCTTAAGCATGTTTAACAATCCGTTCTTTTCTCTTGGTTTCTTCATATTATTCCATTTATTTAAGTAATTCTACATGTACATACCAAGGTATTGTTTTGCCTTAAAAACAAACTTTTCTCTTTCTTCCCAATGTTTTCTTGATGAATTCTAATCTCTTTTATAAAATGAAAATGGTCTATCATTTTAAAAGGGTAATTTTTACACTATTTTTCTTAACTTCTTCTCTTCTTTTTTTCATTATCATTGAAAATTTTTTCATAAAGATCAACTTATTCAACTATTTAGGCTATTTCTTTAGCCTTGAAACTCTTGAATGAATTATTTCTCTTCATTTCATCTAACATTTCTTATAATTTCCTTTCTTTAATTGAAATAGAATGTTCTTTTTCTTTTTTATCAAAATTAAATGGTTATGATTAAGTTACTTTAAATGAATAATCACTTGGTTTTGAATGAACTCCATATTATGGTTTAGGTTATATGAATCTTCTTTTGTAATAGATTTTTTCGATGGCAATAATTTTTTACGATGAGAATATGTTAATAATGCTTATTAACTTGGATGCTTTTTAATAATCGTTCTCTTGACACAATATTGATTTTGAATTTTATTTAAATTTTTATTAAATATTTCAAAAGAATTTTATTATAATTAAATGAAATAAAATATAATATCTAATTTACTTTAACATCTTATTCTAGTAATTATGTAATTCTGGATTTTAATCATAACCATCTATTCTATTTCATCGTTTTAAAATGCCTCAGTTAAATTAACACTTTTAGCCAGACTTGCAACTTCTTCATTGAATTTAGGTTATCCTCCTCTTTTAAAGTAACTTATAAACTCTTAAAATGTCTAATATTCTTTTGCTGTTTCTTAAAATTTTTTTCAATACTTACTCCAAGGTTTCTTCTTTGATATCACTTTTTTTTTATTGCTTTCTGATTATTTATTTTCTTAATTATGAATAGAGTGGTACTCTTCTAATGCATTCAATAAGATCAAAAGCTGTAATATAATCATCCATTACAATCTTATTGAATTAATCTTTAATTAACAATTATAATTCTTCAGGAGCATCAACCCTATTTTAATCATCCTCTTAGTTTTGAGATTCCTTTAAAGTAGCAAATGATAATTGTTATTTACTCACCATTATATCATATTCAAATGCATCCATAAATTGTTTCCAAGATATATAAGGAAATTCAAAGGTTTATGCTTCTAATTATGATAAGATAGTTTCTAAATTAAGTATTTTATCAATTGCTGCTATATATGCTGCTTAAATATGTACTTTAACTTTTACTTATAGATGAATCATTTCCTAAAACAATTCTATCTACTCAAATCATTTTTTCGTTTATTTCTCAAATAATTTTTATATTTCTTTTTAATATCATCTTCAGATATCAATTTAGATTCAGATTTCTATTTTTGTAATTTTTATTTAAGTAACACTCCTTTTAAAAAATCAACATGTTGGCCATCAATATCCTTCTATGATCGTTAAGAGCGTAATTATAATTTAAAATTACTCTCAATTTATCTATATTAATAGGTTCTTCATGATAAGTCACTTTAACTTTTGGACTCTTGGATCATTAACTTTTTGGATTGTAACTTTTACTTCTTACATCACTCAACCTCATTTATTCATATTATTCTGCAAATGGATTAATTTATTATCTATGCTCCTCTAACATTTTCTCTAATTCTTAAGAAATCAATCTTTAAGTATTTATTTTCTATCTATTTAATCACTAAAGGAGTTGGAGGTTTAGATGGCAAGTAATTTAATTACTCTTACTATATTGATATAAAATAGTCTCTTTACTTTTTCCTATATAAATTATTTAAAAATTCCCAGATGATCTCCTTTATGATCATTCATTTTAATCAAGTCATTATCAGACATAATTCCCAACTAATTAAACAGCTCATCCTTTGTTGGAAAGTAATTATTGATATTTTATTGATAATATTTCTTTCCTCTTACTATTTCAGCTGGCATCTTGAATCCACCTGAACCTGAAGTTTATTTTTGTACAATCATATTTTAATTAAAAATGACCACAGCATAAAAGATTGCCGAAATTGAGACTGAAATGATGAGGACCTAAAAAAATAAGGCCACATCATATCATTTAGGTTTATTGAAGGCTAAATTGGCTAAACTCAAAAGAGAAATGATAGATTCATCTTCTAAAAAGGGTGGTGGCACTTAAGAAGGATTTGAAGTTTCTAAGAGTGGAGATTCTCGTATAGGTATGATAGGTTTTCCATCGGTTGGTAAGAGTACACTACTTACAAAACTTACAGGAGTGTTTTCTAAAATTGCAGCCTATGAATTTACAACTCTAACATGCATACCTGGAGTAGAGATTATTCAATATATTAATAGGTCTTACAACATAAAGGTGCCAAAATACAATTGCTTGATTTACCAGGAATTATAGAGGGTGCTAAAGATGGCAAAGGTAGAGGTAAATAAGTTATTGCTGTGGCACGTACTTGTAATTTAATTTTGATTGTGTTGGATGCCACAAGACCTATGGTACATAAAAAAATCATTGAAAGAGAACTTGAAGGATTTGGAATTAGATTAAATAAATAACCACCATAAATAGAATTTAAGAAACGAGACAAAGGAGGTATTACTATTTCTAGAACACATGATGCTTCAAGATTAGATGATGAAACAATAAAAGTATTTATAATTTAAATTATATTCAATAGGCCATCTTACGTGAATATAAGATTAATAATTGTGATATCAATCTTAAATGTGATGCTACTGANTTATTAATAGGTTCTTCATGATAAGTCACTTTAACTTTTGGACTCTTGGATCATTAACTTTTTGGATTGTAACTTTTACTTCTTACATCACTCAACCTCATTTATTCATATTATTCTGCAAATGGATTAATTTATTATCTATGCTCCTCTAACATTTTCTCTAATTCTTAAGAAATCAATCTTTAAGTATTTATTTTCTATCTATTTAATCACTAAAGGAGTTGGAGGTTTAGATGGCAAGTAATTTAATTACTCTTACTATATTGATATAAAATAGTCTCTTTACTTTTTCCTATATAAATTATTTAAAAATTCCCAGATGATCTCCTTTATGATCATTCATTTTAATCAAGTCATTATCAGACATAATTCCCAACTAATTAAACAGCTCATCCTTTGTTGGAAAGTAATTATTGATATTTTATTGATAATATTTCTTTCCTCTTACTATTTCAGCTGGCATCTTGAATCCACCTGAACCTGAAGTTTATTTTTGTACAATCATATTTTAATTAAAAATGACCACAGCATAAAAGATTGCCGAAATTGAGACTGAAATGATGAGGACCTAAAAAAATAAGGCCACATCATATCATTTAGGTTTATTGAAGGCTAAATTGGCTAAACTCAAAAGAGAAATGATAGATTCATCTTCTAAAAAGGGTGGTGGCACTTAAGAAGGATTTGAAGTTTCTAAGAGTGGAGATTCTCGTATAGGTATGATAGGTTTTCCATCGGTTGGTAAGAGTACACTACTTACAAAACTTACAGGAGTGTTTTCTAAAATTGCAGCCTATGAATTTACAACTCTAACATGCATACCTGGAGTAGAGATTATTCAATATATTAATAGGTCTTACAACATAAAGGTGCCAAAATACAATTGCTTGATTTACCAGGAATTATAGAGGGTGCTAAAGATGGCAAAGGTAGAGGTAAATAAGTTATTGCTGTGGCACGTACTTGTAATTTAATTTTGATTGTGTTGGATGCCACAAGACCTATGGTACATAAAAAAATCATTGAAAGAGAACTTGAAGGATTTGGAATTAGATTAAATAAATAACCACCATAAATAGAATTTAAGAAACGAGACAAAGGAGGTATTACTATTTCTAGAACACATGATGCTTCAAGATTAGATGATGAAACAATAAAAGTATTTATAATTTAAATTATATTCAATAGGCCATCTTACGTGAATATAAGATTAATAATTGTGATATCAATCTTAAATGTGATGCTACTGATGAAGACTTGATTGATATTATTGAAGGTAATCGTAAATACATTCCATGTTTATATGTTATGAATAAGATTGACGATATCACATTAGAAGAACTAAATGTCTTGGATAAGATTCCACATTATGTGCCTATATCTGCCTATTTAGAATGGAACTTGGATGAATTGGTGGAAAGAATTTGGGATTATTTAGATTTGATTCGTATTTACACAAAACCAAAAGGATTAGAACCAGGTATTTATATAGTCATAAATTTTAATAGATTATAATGCTCCTGTTATATTACAAAGAAAGTTTTCAACAATCACAGATTTTTGTAATAAGTTACACAAAAATATGATTAAAGACTTCAGATATGCACTTGTGTGGGGAGCTAGTGTGAAATATAATCCTTAGAAAGTAGGAAAGGATCATTAATTATTAGATGAAGATGTTGTTTAAATTGTTAAAAAAATCTGAAGTTTAATAATAAATTTATCTATATATGTTACGAAATTAGTCTTATTAAATAAATATATACTCAATCAAGAATACAAATATAATTATTTAAGCCATATTAATAAAATTTTTTGTATTAACAATCCTCTCTCTTTTTTAATTTTCTGATTTTCAAATTTGCATCCACTTATGAGCAAAATCTAATTTTATTGGAACAGATGTAATAGCAATATTTAACTATTTCTTGCTATATAAGAATAGTTGATACTAAGATTTTGAAGGAAATTTTTAAATTAAACTTAGGGAATAATAATAAGATATATTCTAAGTGTAGTTATATAAATGGTTATTGTTCACTAATTTTCTAAATATAAATTTTTGATAAAATATTAGGATAAATCAGAAAAGTTGAATTACAATAGTTATTCAGTGATTAAAAATTATAAATATTAACTAAAACATCAATAGCATTTATAATATAACATAGTTTGTATCATTGAGTTATGATTATTTTTTCATATGATCAAATTATCATGGTTATATTTGATCATCTCAATATTTACTAAAATAATTTTTATCAAGTATCAAAAAAGAATTCTATAGTTTAAAATCAAAAATTATGATTGAAATTGCTGATCGTTTATTTTATTTGATTTAACAAAATTATTTGAACCCAAATATTTTAAGATACTAATATTCGTGAATTTCAGACAAACAACAGTCAGGATTGAAATTGAAAATATGTTTAAAATACTTCTGAAATCAAAATCTAATTATTTCATTTTCATTTAAGTTTTTAATGTAGAAGAATATGGTATATTAGATATTTTAATCTTTTTTTGAGATTAAGATATATCAATATATATTAGCTTTATATATATTATTTTTCTAAATGGTAATTTTTCATTAACTCTTTGGTAGAATGCTATCCTTATACAAGATTCCTCTAATAAAATGATTTTAATTGTCAACATAAACATCTGTTGTCAATTCAGTGCTTGGTGGAACTGGATCAACTTTGGCTTATTCAACAGCAATATCAATTTCATTTTAAGCAGTGTTATCAATTTCCTAAAGAGAAAATAAATTAATGAATTACTTCTAATTAATGTTCATCTGCCACTTTATTTTCAAGAATAATATTTTTAACATAGTTGATACAATCTCTGGTCTTTCTCTATTATTAAACTTCTTCTCTTGTTCTATAGGTGACACCTGGATCACTCATAGAATGTCCATGATATCTGTAAGTCATGGCTTCAATAAAGATTGGTCCCTTCTCAAGACAGTGTTTCTTGGCGAATTTGAGTGTTTCTCTAACTTAGAATACATTATTTCCATCAATCTAATAATTTATATAGAATATATATACTTGTATTCCTGGAATTACATCACCTCTTGTATAGAATTTGGTATTAGCACTTGCTCTGTCAATAGATGTTCCCATACCAAACAAGTTATTTTCAATGAAATAGATAGCTGGTAAATGCCATAATTGAGCCATATTTGCAGCTTCATATAATTATCCTTGATTGGCTGCACCATCTCCAAACATAATTAAAGTCACATTAGGCTTTTTGTTATATTTTTAAGCAAATGCTAATCCTGTTCCCAATGGAATTTATGCACCTACAATTCCATGACCACCATAAAAATTGGTGGCTTTTTTGTAATAATGCATTGAACCTCCTTTACCCTTTGTACTGCCTGTTTGTTTTGCCATCATTTCAGCAATAATTTGATGTGGAGTATCACCTCTAAGCAATGCTATACAATGATCTCTGTAAGCTGTGATAACACAGTCATCAAATGTTAATGCTGCATGTAATCCTTCATAAATTGATTCTTGACCATCAGCAAGATGTAAGAAACCTATAAAGATTATAAAAATTGAAATACCTCTAATCAATCTTTGTTTGTAGAGATTATCACAAGCAATTTCCATACGTCTTTACAATTACATACTCTTATAATAAGCAAGCAATTCAGCTGATGTTGTAGTTGTTGTTTAGGGAAGTTGATCTAATTCTAAATGATGGACTTTGAAAGGAGGCTAAACTTTATAAATTCTATTTTACTAATTTTACAGAAATACTAGAAAAGCAGGACCTGGAGATTCTGAAAATCATTAATGAATAATTTAAAATATATTTATATATTTATGAGCATATTTTATTTTATTAAATACAATTATTTTAATAAGTATTTAATTTGGAATTTCTATATCTATACCGTTTTTGTGTACTTTAGAGAAGAATAGTTGGATTAATTAATTAAGTCACTTTACTTTTATTTACGGATTGATTATTATTAATTAAATATTAATTATAATTAATTAATATTTACTAATCAATAATTGCATAGATGCATCATTAAGTTAATTTAATTAATTATTTCTAATCAAATAATAATGTTATTATTATAATATTTCTCTTTTCAAAATAACAATATAATCATTAATGCCATTTATATGCTTATATTAAAAATGGATATAGTTTAATTAATTTGAATAAAAATTGAGATGGAGTAACATTTACTAACTACTTCTTGCAGTGAAGATGATGAAGAAAACAAGACTTTAAAATAGGTTTAACTTGTTGTTTTTCCAAAAAGGTTTCTTAATCCTCTTTCAACCTTTAGAATGAATGGAGTAATTTTCCATTTTTACTCTTAAATTTTAGGATTTTCATCTCTATTCTGATGCCAAGAATATTGTCTTCAATAATAATCTTAAATTAGGTGTGAGTAGCCAAAATCCATATAAAAAGGTCTCTAAGGTTTTAATTGATAAAGGAAGACTCATGATTTAGTACACCTAATTAGACTTTTCTATTACACCATGGGAATATGTTGTAAAAAAATTAGATAGTTATGGTGATGCTGATATTCATAAACTGAGTCAATACATTTAAAAATACATTGAATCTCTTAAAGATGGTCTTTAACAAGCTCAAGGAACATTCGAAGTACATTCAATTACATAAATATATTTAGAATCATATCCCCGATTATAGAGCCTCAGGACTTTATCAATACAAATATATTAAAGATCTCGACCAGCTATTTATCTCCCAAGTTTAATATGACATCAATCTCATTGAAGAACTTGGCTACAATGTATCGACATTCATTGATTCTTGTCTTAAATATGGAATTCCAGAGTAAATATTTATTTAGAATTCTTTCAAGGATTTCTCTCAAGTATGGAAGTACAAATTAAGAATATTACAAAAACATAATGGAATTCGCTAAGCCATTAGCACATCCACATTAATCTTAAGAATATTATTTATATTCTCATCTATATCCAGAGGTATTATAAATTCTTAACTGAAAGGGTATAAAGACTGAGGTATCTTTCTAAGTCGAACACTAATCAAACTCAACAGACGAAGATTAACTTATCAACTTTAATATTTATTACAATTATTAACCACAGTAAAATCGCTTCTAGTTCAATAATAATGATAAAAAGACCAGATAACTTAATTGCATTTCCCATTACTATTAACTTCATGAGAATCAATTTTAGAGATGTGGATATAAAAAAGTTAAATTGTGAACATTAAATATTTCTAACGACATTCCATATTATATATTATTATATAAAAAATATTATAATTTATTACAGTACATTCCTTTAAGCTTTAATGATGAAATAATTCAACTTGTAACTGACAACAAAATAAATATAAACTCTTCATTTTCATCTTTTTTCAGAAACATTATTCCATCTCATCCAATTGTCCCAGAAATTTCATCTCCCACTTAAACAACAAAATGGATTAGGAATTAGATAATAATCTTAAAGGATGACATTAAATTTATTAAAATTACATTTTATTTTTTCTAATAAATTTAATTCATAATTAATATAGTGTATATTTATAATTCATTTTATATTTAAACAACCAGTTATTTTTTATATTTATTTTAATCTATTTTTCTGTTTAGCAATATTTCTAAGTTATTATTCTTTTTCTAACTCTTATTCATATAATATATCATTCATAGGAATGTAATTTCCATTACACATGTTTTAAAATTTTTTGTAAAATTCTGAATATCCTTTAGACAATAAATATAAATTGTTGTATGTCAATTTTGGATATTTGTTCATACTCCTATCTAATTTTCGAATCTCAAAATATCTGTATAATATTTTGATTTTTACTTTTCTTAACTTCTTTTTATTGAAAATTCACAATACAAAACCACTATTTTGTTTTATTATTTAGTTGCTCCAAATAATTCTTCAAATAAATTTGTAAAATGATTCAAATGTTTTGCACCCTATATATGCCCTCCTTAAAATTCATACAAATATCGACAATCATAAATAAGTATATCATATAATTTCATTGTTTGAGCCTAAATCATAATTTTCAATAGTACCAATGTTTACCCACTAATATATTAAATTGAATTCTCTAAGTGATATTCTAACATCAAATCTTATCTCTATTCATCAAATGTTATATTCCTAATTCATAGATATTGTAATTACATATCATTATTTAAACCTACTTCTTCGTTTTGTTCTTTATTGTCATATTTAAATTTTTAAGCTCCTTCTAATTTGTTTTCATAATTATCAATTTAATCAATTTTAATCTTCTTTCTGCTTAAAAGCCCCTATTTTGAATAATTTTCATTTATTTCCTTTGTTTAGTTGGATTCTAATATTAAAAAAAACACTTACTATTTAAAGTAAATAAAGCTTAATTTAGTAAGGGTTTTCTTATTAGGTTGTGTAGAAATGCCTCCATTATATAAATAGGATAGCTTAAAGTAATATTTAATTAGAATAAAAATTACATTCAATAATGACACATTGATATAGAACTTAATTTTTTTTTAATTTATCCCAATCAAATATCTAAAATATATTCCAAACTAATATTATTTAAAATCAGCAAATATAAATTGTAAGTAAAGTTATATAACAATGAAGTTATATCAATCAAAAATTTCTTGTTATTAATTTATATTATTTTATATGGTCATATTTTAATTATCAAACATAATTTAATGTAATTCCTATTATATTCACAGATTATATAAACTCAAAATAAAATTACATAACTCTCTCATTTAATACAAACTTTTTATTAGTTAAAATAACTTTTATAATTAAAAAAAAATTGTTTTTCAAAATGTGATTTTATTCATTAAATGTTAATAAACTATTGGATAAAGATTATATATATTAAAACTATAGAAATTTTTACTAATATTTATATTCCATAACATAATTTAAAAATTAAAAAAATGTCATTTATTTTGAATGCTACAAAATTAATGGAGTAACTATTCTTTAATACTTTTAGTCTTTATTGTGTAGTTTAATTAACATGGAAGACTAATTAGGCTTTCAAAAAAAAGAACCAAGAATTTGAGGATACTTTATTAATTAAATGGTATATGCTGTAAATATTATACGAAGGGTTCTCCTGTACTCCTTATTTTAATTTGAATGGGTTCTTGCATTATTATTAGAATTAATACCATTTGGCTTTCTAGTTCCATTTTTAATAAAAGGATATATAACATTACCTCACTCAAAATGGCACTATTTATTGTATCAAATGATAGAAAAATTGGAAATGGATTAATATTAAAACATATTCTTCATTTACTTTTCAAAATTTATGAAATATATTCTGATTCCTTGTTTAAATGTATACTTAATATTATAAACAAAAGGTGGTAGAGGATTGCATAGATTTAGTTAGAGTTGATGAATTAGATACATTGGAGAATAAGGTAATTAGAATAAAGGAAAGAATTCTTAAAAAAATATAGTCTGTTGAAATAAATAAATAGAAATATGTGTTGAAACATTAAGACATCAAAATTAACAATAATAATAAACAAGTTCTTAGTGTTTTAGCAAAAGTTTAGGATAATCTTAAGTTTAAAGACTATATCTTAAGTTTTGATCCTTAAACTAATTAAATCTAATTTATTGATACTATCAGTAGGGAATGTATTCATACAAGTATATTAATAATATAATTTTAGGAAATCTCTCACTAATTAATATTAATGAGGATTTTTGTCTTATAGCAACATATTAGGATGGGGATGGAAATTTAGAATTAATTAAATTAAATAATAGTGAGGATATTAATTAATGGTTAAGACCAATAATTGAAATTCTGATTTAATAAAATGAAGAATACTGATTGATATATTATTATTCATTAATATTATTATTTATTTGGAATGGTTCTTTAGTTAATTTATTTTTTTAAGTTTAATAATATATATTATATCCTTATAATGTAATTAGAAATAAAAATATATTTTGAATAAGAAAGGTTTAATACATAAAAATAATTTAATTTATTTTATTTTTAAGATATGAGACCTGCATAAACATCATTGAATGCTAAATAGAGTGGTGAATTCAAAGCTTTAGTGGTATGAATAATCACTTAAATTAGAAATTACTTGATGCTAAAGATTATAAAAAGGGTCTCAGAAATACTGAAAAATTATTGGAGTAAGTGCCTGATAATTGGGAAGTAGTATCTCTTAAGGCAATTTTTATGTATTATAATGATGAACAACAAAAGGGATTAGAATTAGCTAAGTAAGCAGTATTTAAGAATTTGGGATCAGATTTTTGTTGGCATATTTATGGTTTAATTTATAAGGCCTAAAAAAATTATATTGAGGCTGTAAAATGTTTCCTATAAGCAATTAAAAAAGGAGAAGAAAACATATAATTGGAGAGGGATACTGCTAATTTGTAAATTCATACAAGGGATTTTGAGGGGAATGCTTAACTTAGACATAAGATATTAACAAAAAAGTCAAATATGATAGTGAATTGGATAGCATTCATATTTGCTTAACATTTAAGTGGAAATTACGAAATAGCATTTAAAGCAATAAATTCAGCTGAATAATTAATCTAAAAGGATTAATAGAATCCAATTAAGAAAGTTGAGATGAATGAATTTAAATTATATTAAATCTAACTTGCCATAGATGCCAAAGATTATTAAAAAGCTAAATAAAATATAAGTGCATTCAAAAAGTATAATATTCTTTATAATCAAAAGTGACATCACAGATATGGTGGCTTATTATGAACTCCAATATGATTTATATATGAAATTAGGATCAAATTAAGAAGCAGTAGAAGCAGCAAAACAACTCTTAGAATTATAACCATAAAATTGGAGATATTATTAATTATTAAAAAAGGCAGATCCATAATATGATCTATCAATTTATGATAATAATTTAGTATAGGGTCAATTATTAGCTGAATAAAGTGGTGATATATTCAAAACTAATTTTTTGAAATTTATTGATCCATTTTTTTAGAAATCTTTACCATCTTTGTTTAGAGAAATCAAGCATTTATATAAATAAAATGAGAAATTGAATATTATTAGAGAAGCATTTGAATCTTATTTAAATGCAGGTCCAATCTAAAAGTTATGGGCATTAATGCTATTATCTTAACATTATTACTAAATTAAACAATATGAAAAATCATTAGAATTAGTTGAAGAGGCAATTGCCCATACACCAACTTTACATGAATTGTATTTGATTAAAGCTAAGGCATTGCATAAATAAGAAAAATTCAAGGAGGCATATGAGGCAGCAGATAGAGCAAGATAATTAGATTTGGCTGATAGATATTTAAATAATAAGACAATTAAATATGCTTTAAGAGCAAATATGGTTTATTTGTCATAAGAATTATTAAGAATGTTTTTAAGAGATGGATCAAATCCATATGAATTATAAATGATTTGGTTTGAATTAGGAGTTGGAAGAACATTACTAAGATTGAATTATCTTGGTCCAGCATTGGCTTAATTTTATTTGATTTTTAAACATTATTAAGAAATGTATGATGATCAATTAGATTTTTATTAATTTTCAATAAGGAAATATACATTAAGATCATTATTATAGATGTTTGATGCTATGGATACTAGATATAGTGCTAAATATTTTATTGAAACAGCAGGTCTAATGATAGAAGGTTTGAATAGATTAAAACTCAAATAATAAGATTAAGGCAAGATAGAGTAGAAGAAATTGACACCAAAAGAGAAGAAACAATTATAAAAGTTATAATAAAAATAGGAAGAGGAAAAGCATTTGAGAGAATAATTTTCAATTGAAGGACATATTTATAGTATTGAATTACAAAAGAAATTTGATCTTTCAGGAGAATATCTATTATCATAATTAAAGACTGAATAAGACATTATAAAGATGTAAAATTAATTTGCTTAAGTTTTGATTCATACAAATTATAGCAATAAAGAAATTAACTTTTAAGCATTCAAGCAACTTGTCTAATTCTATATACAATAGAATAGACCTCTTTTGAGTGTTAAATTATTAAACAAACTCAGAAACAATTAAACAGAATCAAATTAAATTGTAAATCATAAATATCAACTTATGTTAATTCAATATTGTAATTTATTTTATTTATTTTTTATAGTAAATTCATATAAGGGACCCTAACTTTAATATGTTTAGGAATACTAATAAGATTTAAATAAATTTGATACTGACTTTTGGAAGAGTGTTGAAATTAAGTCTAATCTAGATAAAGCTATAAGTATATTATTTATATAATATAAAAATAGAAACACATTGTGAACACATTTTACAAAATAAACCATTTAATGTATAATAATTAGAATCAAATGATTTAGAATTCTTATAAGAATATCCAACTGCAAAAGTATTCAATATATTTATTATAGACAACTAATCCATTTTATACAAATGATCCTAATTTAGAATGGTAAAACAATTAGATTAGCTAATTCTAATCTACATAATAAACATAAAAAGTATCATAATAATAATGATGATGTGTGGAGTATATTATATCTATAAATATATATAAAATTATCATTAATTTATTTATGTTTAAAATGGACAAAGATCGGAATTAATTAAATTTATTAAATGTGAATTTAGATTAAACCAAATAAATCAATTTTCTAGAAAATTAATAAATTTTCATAAAAATGTAAAAATTGACCTAAACTATCTAAAAGAGACCATCTAAATATAACATTGTGGATGACCAAAAACGATAGTAAATAGTGGAAAAAATATTTAAAGAAAAAATGAAAATTAAAGATGTATAAATACAGAATAATAATATTTAGGTCGCTGTATTATTTTAGATTCCACTATCGACTGTTAAAGCAGTAAAATCAGTTTATCTAAAGGAAGGAAGAGTTTAAAAGAAAGCAAAGCGTATCCGTCATAAAAAAATGATCACAACAATTATTGTTGCACTTATTGATAAGTAAGTTAACTTTGTAGCATCATGAATAACAGAAATAACATCCCCTCAGATGTGAATGAGATCTAAAAATATACAAAAGTCACCTTTGGCCATGTTAATCAAAATGGAAATGTGAATGAGTTGTGCATGAGATAAGGAATTGAATTGCTTATGCAGATGCTAACCCAAATTCGAAAGAACTAACCTTCCATTGACAAGCATTCCACTATGTTATCAAAATTGCTGAAGGATTATTAATAATAATGTTAATAATTTGACTGATTAAAATACTTAAAAATATTCTTCTACTATATTCATTACACCCATCACATATATCTTTCTCACTACTTCTAATTTACTATAAACTACTTTGTAATCAATATGGATAGAATTTATGTTAGATTTTCTGAAGATTTACATTATTTTCAATTTGAAGTAGTTTGATATTTGAAAAAACTTCATATTACCTATTTCATCTTC